CTTGATCGTTGTCCCATATCTCCCGCCGTTGTCGTTATCCCCAGCAATACGTAATAAAAAAAATTGTAATTTTTCGATTGGTCGGGATACTAAAGTGCCCGCATTCTGGCGGATTTTTCGGGAAGCTCGTTTTGGTTTTATATTATAAGAAAGATTTCGGGAAGCTCGTTTTGGTTTTATATTATAAGAAAGATTGCGTAGTATTTTGCATTATTAAATTATTATTATCTTATTGCATATCTTATATATTTTAAAGTATTATTACACATGACACTATTATTCTACATATTATAAATCATTATTTGTTGTTTACATATTTAAAATTATTGCATATTATTATTATACACATGGTCACATATTATTTTCTTATTATTGTATTTGTTCATTATTATAATTACTTGAGCCATTGTTAGACCTACAGTTATTATTTATATATATATTATAGCCATTTAGGCATTTGTTTCATTATATTATATTACCAGCTATTATTATTACATTATTTTTTTTTATATTTTTGGTTGGCAGTGCATCACTTTTGGGTGGCCTGCCTTCCTGCCGTAAAGGTACCTTAATATTATTATTATTAAAGCCGAGTGCGGCGACAATATGAATTAAATATAATTTAAAAATATTTCTCCAGTAATTTACTTCTATCCTTTTTAAATTGTTTTCGACCACATGCATCTATCTTAAAGTTGTATTATATACATATTTATATAGGAGTATAATATTTTTATTATTTTCGATTTGAGGTGTAACAAAACATACATAATGCTCGTGAATAATCCACAATGAAATGTTTAGAAAAAACAGGCTAAAACAATTATAAAAACATCAAACAGAAAACTTAATCATTTTAATGTAACAATTACTGTACGACTTCCATCTTTTGATGTTGATGAGGCTAGAGGATCACCTTGTAACTTATTAACATTATCGCCGATGTTCAAGATGTCTTGTACAATGGTTAAATATAAAATCTAAAAAATTATATAAAAGAAAATTTTACAACTATAGGTACAGAAAATGGTTATTTAAAGCACAAATACTCCTGAACAGAAATAGCTCCATGTGACAACAACTTCATTAATTTAAAGTAAACAACAAATTTAGCAAAATAAAAATAAATTATTCTCTGAGAGGTTGTTAGCATAATATTATTGTTAGAAGTTTGGGATATACAATGGTATCATTGTAAAACAATACTTCAAAATAATCGATACGCGTGTCGAGCATTTAAAAAATATGTAATTCGAGTACTATATAGTAGTTTATCTTATGAATTTAATATATTTGCATGATAATAATACATTATTTTTTCGATTCAAGTTATATTTTAATAAATAAATGGAATATTATACAGATTGTCTATCAATTTAAGACATTTTATTTATTGCTTAGTCATTGTGAAATCTATGCTATCCAGCATTGACTAGATAAATTAAAAAAATTGTTATATTTTTAAACATCAATCAACTATAAAAGTCTTGCTTTTGTAGTTTTCGTGACTACGGTAGGCGTTCAACGTTATTTACCTATTTTCGATTACAAGCTTTGGTTAAACGTTATAAAAATTGATCATAATCAGACATATAACCGTTCTAATAAAATCTAATATAGAGCGAATTCCCAAATTAAATGCAATTTAAGTAATCTCCCCTAAAAACATTTTGCTACCGCCATATTACACTTACGTAATTTCCCCTAAAAACATTTTGAACCATTTAGTATATCCCAGAGAACACCTCGTGGAGGTAGTTCTATTCAATAAATAATAATATCATTTTTAAAATTAAGTCAATAAAATGCTTATTGATATTAAGATGAGATATTTGTTAAAATAAAAAATAAAAATTATTTGGTTTAATAACTTTTTTATTTAGTTCAACTAAAATATTTTATCGAAATTTTATTAAAATAACTTAAAATTTTGTTAATTTTATCAAATACATTATTAATTTAACGAATATATTTTGAATTTACAAAAATAAAATTATTTTAACAAAATGGTTATTATATTGAATGTAACTAAAATACACTTAGTTTGTTTTTAATGATTTAATAATTTAATGATAACAAAGATACAATTAATTAATTAAATTGAAATAAATACTGAAAAAAACGAAATTAAAATGCAAAAATGTATGGAAATGTAATACATGTTAGTTAAATGTTTTTAGGGGAGTTTACTTATAAGGGAATTTACTATTTCATCTTTTAGAAGAGTTTACATTTGCCCCCTGTTACAATATATATAAATACAAACATGTAGTTTTTAACAGAACATTTTTTAATGGCATATCTTATAATTGTATTTTGTTATAGAGGCTCCTGGGTTTCCTGATTATGGTAAATTATATTTTTGTATAACAATTTTTATTACTCACGTATCCTTAAACTTGTAGGATTTACATATTATGTATGTAGTCACATTAAAATAGTTAAAATGAAAATCGAAATTAATACTAGATTGGTATGAAAAATTTATTTTCACTGTAAGTGTCGATGTGTGTAACAATTTTTACGTAAATATACACGAATTTAAATGACGAATTTATTATCCTGAAAGTGTATGATTATGACAACCACCGTTACCATACATATCCAGAAATTAGATGCATCGCCGTATGTTGCGGTCATTATCTCCATTCCTACAGAACTTTCATTTACAATAGTTATATAATATGCATATGGTATAGGTTTATTATGCATTCCTAAATGTGAATATGATTGTGGGTACTGTGTAAAATTAAATTCATAATAATTACAACGTGTTCCATCGTTCATAACCTCGTTAATATTCCTGTCAACAACTACCATAAAAGCAGTTCGTATATATAATATATAGATATATCTGAAAATAAATGTAATTATCATAATATAAAATATAATTTATTGTATTAAAATAAATAATCCTAAAGAATGATTTGTCGTTTAAATAGTTTATTAAGCAAATTACTGTAATATATATTGGGTACATTTTTTTTTTTTTTAGGTAAATCGCTAAAATACTACAAATATATTTTGGATATGTTAAAAAAAAATGAAGGAAGTGCGTATTCTATTACACAATAATTATTAATAATATATATTTTTTTTTAGTTATTAGTTAAATTATAAAATAGCAATACTGTGTGTGTGCCGTGTAGATACCTAATCTCAAACAATGTAATTTATCGAAAATAGGTTCACAACTGTTAGCTTCAGATATGCAATAAATAAATAATTTGGCATAACAAAAAAAAAAGCGATACTTAACTTAACGGTAAAAAAACTTTTGTGTTTTCTTACATCAATAGTAGGTACTTAACATATTTTCTTGTGATATATAAGAGGATTCAAAATCTATTAAAATTGAATTTGTGTAGAACTAATACGATTAAGAGGTTTCAAAAGTTTTCAATTTTAATGACAAGTCAATTGAAAGTCGGTACTAAAACACAAAATGGTTGGTCTCCGGCAACTGAAAGGCCGTACCGTCGTAATCGTTGTACGTCGTACGTCATCGCCGCCGCAATAAGAGTAGTGTTGATGGATAAGCGACGAATCGAGAAGACATATTATATTTTCGTTGCATACTCAAAATCAGTCTTAAAAATATTTAAACGTTTTTAGTTATAATATTAAAGCCGTCTAACCAATCTACTTTCGAGTTTCTCTGTTCCCATTTACACAATATTTCTGATCGATTGAAATGTTATACGACTTTATATTTTTAGCCCTTTGCACTGTAGATCTGGCCGAATGGTTAACACAAATTAGCACGGTATTTTTATGGAACAACTTAGTTTCCTGTTATTATACGTTAGTGGCTACTACACTATTTTTTTATTTATACTTAGCTTCGTGGTACTACCGTCGCACTGGATAATATAAAACAAAAAATAATTAGCCTGGAACCGTGTCTACAGTGAATAAGGAAACTTAAGACCAGACATAATTATATAATCAGCTTAACTTTTTTCATGTAGTTAAACTTTCTGATCTAAGACTAAACAAACTATTTTTTTCTATCATATTAGACGAAGAATTTGAGTGTATATGCAAAGGGGCAATTGGTGGGTAGCTATTCCGACGACATGTGGAAATCACACGTCAGATCGAAAATGCGACGTAATACAGATGTTTCTACACGATTTGTACACTATATTCTTATGCATTGACGTGAAGCCTTGAAGTACAATAATTGAGGGTTTAACACAAAAAAGTTTTAATTGTCAATACAAATAAAAAAAAAAATGGTCTGATAAGACTCCTTTACTTTCTAAATGTGCTTAGGAAATTGACTAATACTTCTGAAATAGATTCTGTGCTAGATTTTAATTAAATAATAAACCTCAAGAAATTATTAGATTTTTATATTATTATATACTCAATCTAAAATTACTTTTATTCTAATTAATGAATTTACAATTAATGCACGATAAGCATAAATGTTTGAAAGAGTAGTTTTTTTTATTCACAACTACAAGATCTAAAATCAAACAAAGTTATTGACTTAAGAGATTCCTAAAATTATTATACATTTACAAAAAAAATAAATATTTTTTAATTAATTTTTTGTTATGGAAAATCTATATTTTGGAGATTTAATCTATCTCAAATTAAATCCTATACGATCTTAGCCCATAATATACAAGCTTGTAGTAATCTATAAGAAAAACACGATTTAATTGGATGAGATTGATTCTTATTATTAATGACCATTTTTTATGCTTTAACATAAGATTTTTGTTCATTTATTTAGAGTTTTCAAATAATATGTGCTATTATTCATTAATACAAGGGACGGGTTTTAAACGAGTTAATACTTACATAAAATTAATTATTTATACATTTTAAATTCTCCAATTTAATATTCTACAAATCATAAAAAAAATTCATTCATAATAAAGGTATTTATCTTTTTTTTGTTTTTAGCTATGGCAGATTGTAATACTAAATTTTGGTGTGAAATTAAAATTAAAGAGTTTGAAGAGAATAGTAAATTTTAAATTAAATGCTTCTAACGATTGGATATATCAAGCCTACTAATGAAAATATCAAAACCATAGACAAATAACCACAGAAAATAAGAAAAAGAACACACATTATTAAAATTTTTAGTATTTATTCTTAGGTTCCAAGAGTTTGTAAATTATAAATAATTTATCTAATTTTTGTGTTTTTTTTTTCTTTATTGGTTAGAGGGGATATGTAAAAAACTGATTGTTATAAAATCGGTCATTAAAAATTAAAAACTTTAATTACTTTTAAGTTAGACATTAATCAAAATAAAAAGCAAATTCTACTGTTAAGTATGTTTTTACTGTGCATCGTAATCGAGTTCATACCTTTAAAGGATGTATTAAATTCCAAGTTGACTGCTTTTTGAAACCTACAGTTCTTACTGGTAAAAAACATCCAGCTGCGAATTAAAAATTTGCTTAGATTTGTTTGCTAAGATTCTTGTTTGAACCCTTCTTTAAAATTCCTAAGTTTTAAAAATTGGCTCTTAGGTGATACTTCTGCAACCAATTTTAGGTTTACGAGTGTGATAGACATAGCCATACTTCACTACACACTTGCACAGTGTATACACAGTCTTGCCTTCAATTAAAATATTCTACTTAACAACACCACACTGTGCTAAAATATGAAAAAAAGAGGCTATAAATTGATTCAGAGCCTAAACCGTTCTTTATCTTTAAATTAACAGTATATGAAATACCCCCACAAGATTTATTTTTCCGGACAAGTCCAAAAAGATCTAGGATCGGCATTTAGCTTACACTCAGTTCGAGTAAAGAGCGATTATTAGCAACTTTTGAATTAAAATTTATGACGGGTCTAGATATTAGAACACTTGTTTAATTTCTGGAACAACCGAACACTAAATTTGGCAAGAGCTCACACCTTAAAACATGTTATCTCAGGATAGCATGCACAATATAAATTAAAATATTTATGAAAGTTATCAGAATTTTGAAGGTCACAGTTAATAGTGAATTTAATAACAAAAGTGTGGTGACATGACCATAGGGAACAGAAACCATTTCTGATTTTTCTATTAAAACACTGTAGTTAATAAAAAACACCAGATTAAGAATATCCCCAAAGTGAATCGAGAACCCATTAAGTTGGAAAAAATTATTGAACACAAATAAATCGGGGACAGGCTGCAATCTAGGGCCTGAAGACGAATAAAATATTAGGCCATAAACGATCACACGTTTTCAATAAGAGATTTCATTTGCGCGTTTCAATCGTTTGGATAGAAATGCGGCATCGAGGTCACTCTTATGCAACAAGAGATTACACTGAAACGTGTTGGCGATTATATGTAAATTGCATCCTGGAGATTGTTCTTCAGCAATAATATATGTCAAAAACAACTCTAAGGATAGCAAAAATATCTGATATACCATTGCCGTTAAGACCTAAGCACTTTCAACCATTTAGCCATTATTTAAATATTTAACTTATACTATGTTTGATTTAAATAAAACCCCTATGTTCGTTAATAAGTTGTATTATTTATTTATTCAAATTATTAAAATAATTGATCGCTGAAATTACGCACGAAACAGTGTGGCTCTCCACAAATATTTTTTAATATTAATTGTAAAATTATAACTATTTAGTATTTATTTTTTTTTTTAGTTTAAAATAAATATAATGCGCAACCAAGGATATTCCTTATGGTCAGTTTTCACATAAAACTATACAAATATTATTCAGTTTAATTCTTATAACATAATAGTTTAATATTGTTGATTGTTTGTGTATATAAAACGATTATACAATAAACAATGCCAGCAAGACGCAAATGGTCTGATTTATCCTATCGAATGACCAAAAATTTCTAAAAAAAAATCTCGTCAATAATATTTGAAAATGCCAACATTCATAATAAAAATACCTTTCTTAAATTAAACTTATCAACCGTCGATGACCATCGCTTGTTACAAAATATCTTTCCGAAATTAAATGTCTATTACATATCAACTTTCGGTAGATAGAATATTCTCTGTAATAATTAGAAATCTATAAACCTCAATTACTGTAACGAAATTTACGAAACGCCAACAGAATCAGACTACAATGTCACTTATGTAACCTGCCTACAGTACCGTAACAAATCACAAATCCCAATTGTCGCAGTAATTCTTGATAAATCAACGCATAACATTTTCTCTCTC